ACAAATTAAAATATTTACGAAATATTTTTCTTATAAATATTTAATAGTATTTTTCCTGTTAAAATATTAAACCAAAGAGAATTGTAATACTTTAGATGAATATAGCCAAACGTGAATACATATAAAGAAGGTAAAAGTGTTGGATATATAAATGTAAATTTGCTTAATTATATGATTTTGTAATAGATTTTTTATTTTTGTTATTATAGAAATATAGAGTAAGACTATTTTTACTCTAAATATAGAGATGTAATTTTGTTCACTATATTTTTTTAAGATAGAGAAATTATACAAAGTGCATATATTGTCACCGATTCGATTGTCTTAATTCAACTTTCTAATTTATTGTATTTTACTCTAATTCATATTTTTCCAGGGTTATATTCAATTTAAATTTTTGGGTTTAGATTTTTATTTTAATCCCTAAATTCAACATTGCTAATAACTGTTTATGTACTATGATTATTGAAACATAGCCGACAAAAAAATATATTATTGAAACATAAATACTAACCAAAACTTATGTGAAAAAAAAAAAATTATTTTTAAAATAAATTTTACGCAATATATGCAAAAATCCAACAGTTACAATTTTTTTTTCTTTCTTACGTTTTGCATAAATTTTAAACAGAAACCCGTGCAACGCACGGGTCCACACCTAGTTAAAGTATAAACTATTAGATTCTATTTTCTCTTTACAAAAATAGTTTTCTCTTCTATGGATCTCCTCTTCACGGCTTTAACTTGGTTAGTAATTTGTTATTTCTTTTTTTTTTATTTTTTTGCTAAAGGATTTACTATTAAAGTTATTTCTTATCATATAAGTTATTATCCATAAATCTCTTCTCCTCTCACGCTTTATCTTTTCTCTACATCATATGATCGCATCAAATATTTCTTTTATACGTACTTTTTTTATCATGGCTTACATCGGAGGATCATCCCAAGGAAAAACACCTCAAAAAAGAAGAACAACGGACAAGTGAATCTCAAAGGGGAGCACTAAGACAATGCTTTTACATTGGGAATCATAGTGAAGTTGGTGTTTTTAGTTTTGAACATAAAGCCATATATATATATAGATATACTGCTTTGAATAACTTTTTGAAAACTACACTTTTTAAAATTTTAATAACTAAATAAATAATTTAGTGAATAAAAATATTATAATTATATACTTTATTTTATATAAATGTATCAGTATTTTGTGATTTGATCCATCTTTAATGGATATTGAATTTTATTATTTTTGTTGACTCGTAAAATTAATAAATCTTATAAAAAATTAAAAATATTATTAAAATTTATTCATTAATTTTAAATTAATTATTTTCTTTGAAATAAAATTACAAAATTACATGCCAGTTTTCAAATTTATCAAAACTATAACTATAATATGATCTACATTTTATTATTAGATTTTCTAATTCTAAACATATAAGTTATAACCCTAGTTTGTAAATAAAAATTTATCATTTTTATTTAATTGCTACTTCAATGATATCATTGTATAATTAAAAGGATAAAAATAAATTAAGAGAAAATTAATACCTACACTGAAAATATAAAACATCTAAATTTACAAATTAAAAATACAGTAAAACTCTATAAATTGATACTTGATAAATTAATAATCTCTATAAATTAATACATTTCGCCGGTCTCAACTTGGATCCGTTCAAATTTGAAACAAATCGATAAAATAATAGAATAATATTATTTTATAAAATTATATATAGTCCCATTAAAATTATAAATTAATAATTTATATGTATATATTTTATATAAGTAAGAACCAACCATCATATTGTTTGTTTTATATTCACAAAGGAAGTATATTTTATATTTTCTTAATAGAAAATATATTTTGATGAGATTTAGTCATATTATCTAAAACTAAATTTAAATTCTATGCAATATATTTTATATACACCAACCAATATAATAAAATTAATATAAATGTCAAATTTTAAGAAAAGAATAATTAATATTCATACACTAAAACTAAATATATTTCTTATCTTATAAGAAATATATCTTAAGATAATGAAATTTAGTAAATTAATATCTCTATGAATTAATAAAAATTCAAAAACATTATTAATTTATAGAGATTCTATGTAAATGTTTTCCAAGTATGCTTTTAGCCAACAGTTCATAAACACACAAATCTTTCATTCTTCCTCCTTCAAGCAACATTACAGGCACGGACTTTCGTTACTGTTTCTTCACGAGTTGATAATCGAGACCTATTCTTGTGTCTTATTCACTTCAACTATTCTTGTCTTGATTATTAGGGTTCTTAAATGGCAGACAGTAGAAACGCTGGAAATAATATACCAGACAGGTAATATCATTGTTAATTAGGGTTTCTTGTGTACAACATGCTCCACGTATATATATACATATATATATATATATATATATACTTGCATGAATGCTTTTTAACAAGTGTTGATGTTGTTGATATTGTAAGTAGTAGTGGTGCGTGGACAGAAGAAACACATGCACGAACAAAACGTGAAGGGAATGATCTTGAAATTGATCCTGAGAGACAAGAGAGACTGAAGCAACAAATGGAAATCTCTTTGAAAACAATAGAGAACTCAGAGTTTTACAAATCATTCTTGAAACAGCTGACCTCTCCTGAGGTGTCAAGCCACATTCAAATCATGTTAGGCTCTGAAACGCAGCTGCAGATGGTGATTTATGGTTTAGGCAGCATCGAGTCTGATGATGAAAATCCAAGGTTTCAGCTGAGCATTGCAATCCTGATGAAGAGAGAGTTTGATTGGGTTGGTAACAACATTGAAGTATTTGATCCAATCATCTCCGCAACAGAATCTAGTGTCATAAGATCTCTTGGATGTACGTTTCTGTCTGGTAGATTAACACACTGATCCTCGGGGGGATCCATTGACGAGGAAAGAATAGGACACCGATTCCACACATGCCATTACCCAAGCAGTCCACTCGGGAGCAAAACCAAGTTTCAATAAAACTGCCCGAAGAAAATCCCACTCAATCCGATCATAAGCCTTACTCATGTCTGTCTTAACAGCCATAGTGCACCGTTGTTTAGCCTCGGATGTTCGAAGATAATGGAGCGTTTCATGCGTAATAAGAACGTTATCCGTGATCGCTCGCCCCGCAACAAAGGCCGTTTGCGACGTGGAAATAAGCTGCGGAAGTAAAGGCTTAAGGCGTCTCGTAAGAATCTTGGCGATGATCTTGTAATGGGTATTACAAAGAGCAATCGGCCGATAATCAGAGACCTTCCGTGGGCAGGATCCTTTCGGGATCAGCCTTAGTGCGTCTCATTCTGTCGCGGGTTAAGATAGCCAGTCGCAAAGAACTCGAGAACATCCTTAGAGACATCCGGGCCAATGATATGCCAGTAAGACTGATAGAATTTGGAGGAGAAGCCATCGGGGCCGGGCGCTTTACTGCTATTAATAGAGAAGGTGGCGTCTTTAATCTCCTGGAGGCTCGGTGGTTGGATCAGATACTCATTCATCTCCGGAGACACCTTCTGAGGGAGAGCATGTAAAACAGCTAGATTCCCGGAGCTAGTTGTAGTAAAGATCTCCTGGAAGTAGGTAGAGATGACAGCAGCGATGTTATCATCTTCAAAGACTTCTGTCCAGGGCCGGATTTGGACACAGCCGATCGAAACATTCGTCTTGGCCCCCAAAATTTTTAGAAAAATTTAACCTAGGAATAAACCCCTAAACATTAACCTTGGCCCCCCAAAATTTTTAGAGTTCTTAAGAAATGTTTCAAGCCCCCAAAATCTCAACTCCGGCCCTGCTTCTGTCCCTTGTTGTCCTCAATCACTGTGAAAGAAGATTATTTTTTTCCAGCGATGTTATTTTTTTCCTTCTTTTCTGATTTTTTCCCCGATTTGTTTTGATAAAAAGTTAATTATGTGAAAAGAAGATTATTTTTGTTTTGACGGCAACATTTTCTTAAGTATGTCAACACACCAGTACATGCATAATACGTTTCATGGATTCTAGCGAGAGTGAAAGAAGATTATATTATACTGTGTACATGCGCATTACATGAATTTGTAACAAAATATATAATTAGCATTTTGAGTTTAGTATGTAAAACATAGGAAACTCTTCTAAATGTTCATGTGACTAGGATTGACATAATTTTAATTTCATTCCAAAATGAACATCCAAATGGTTTCAGCAAACATCATCGAAAACCATTTGTTCCTGTATGAAACTATGCCAAGTGAGCAAAAACGCACAGCTATGAGCTATGTAATCATTCGTTTGTAACAGATTCGTGATAACTGATAAGTTGTCAGATGTGAATAAATGATTAGATATGTTTCATGTTGGGGACAGAGCGAGATGTGTATTGGGTTTTATGGGCTTTATAGAAGAAACTGGGCCTTTGGGCTTTACCTTTACTAAAACAGTCGCTTTTTATTCCTCCGTTGTGTAAGAAAGTGGAAGAGAATGGTTCAGACAAAGAAGAAGAAGAAGATCCACCACAGCGACGATGAAGAAGAAGACGACACTTTCTACTACCGCTACTCCTCCGTCGCAGCACCACCTTCACACCCGACAAAACCTTCTTCCTCCTCCTCAAAACCCCTAGCTCCCACCGGATCAGGCGGCCTAGCCCCTTCCAAATCAACGCTCTACGTCTCAAATCTCGACTTCTCCCTAACCAACTCCGACATCCACACCCTCTTCTCCACCTTCGGTAAAGTCGCCCAGTCACCGTCCTCAAGGACCGCAACACTCGCCGATCCCGCGGCGTCGCCTTCGTGCTCTACGTCTCCCGCGAGGACGCGGCCAAAGCGGCGCAATCCATGGAAGGGAAGATCCTCAACGGAAGGAAGCTGACGGTTTCGATCGCCGCGGATAACGGGAGAGCGTCTGAGTTTATAAAGAAGAGAGTGTATAAGGATAAGTCGAGGTGTTATGAGTGTGGAGAGGAAGGGCATCTTTCGTATGAGTGTCCGAGGAATCAGTTGGGGCCTAGGGAGAGACCGCCGCCTCCGAAGAAAAGGGGAAGGAGGAGGAAGGGGAGGGTGAGGATTCTAGGGGTTGGTCGGGGAAGGAGGAGGTGTTTGGTGAGGATAATTGGGCTTCTGTGGTGGATAATGAAGCTGGGGAGAGGCTGAGGATGAGAGAAGCTGAGGAAGAGGAAGAGAGGAGGAGGAAGAGGAAGGAGGGTGAAGGGAAGAAAGTTAGCTACTTTAGTGATGAGAGTGATGATTGATGAAAACTCAGTAACAAGGTTGATCCCTTTTTTGATGAGTCTGGATCACTAGAAGAAAAAAAAACAACTCTTTACAGTTGTTGATTTGAAGATTACATCTTTGTTCATCAATGAATATCAGCTATATGATGACTCATGTTTATCCAAGTGACTAGATTTAAGTTCTTGATTCTAACTTTGCATTATTCTGCAAACGATCTGTATTGCCAACTTATATAGGAAACTTGAGAAACTCCAAAGCTGTCCTGTTGTTCTTCCTTAGTATAAACCGGTCTGTATAAGAGAAGACGTGTTTTGATTGTTTTATTATGTGTCAGTATTGAAGACAGTAGCTGAAACTATCGACTTTGGTGCAACATTTTTTGGAGATTTTTACTAACCATCAACTCCTCATCACCCATGATTTCTTCTATTAATTCTGAGATAGGTTTTGACCATAGCTGCTAACACAGCTTGTTCTAGCCTGCATTTGATCCACAAAGCTTTTTTTTTTAAGATATGCTTTGAATTCTTTACTGTGTTTGTTTCTTAGAGTAACTTTTGTAAGGTACCAGTTTCTGGACATGCATCAATGAACATCATCAACTCTTCTCCTTTCAAGCCAGGGAAGAAGCAAATCCGAGGCAAGTACTCGATAAGAACTGGAAGTCACAAACTTTCAGCCTCTTCAGGTCAGTCTGTTATGTGGTTACCCGCTCCCCATACGATCGTGTGATCATATATTCCGTACATAGCATAAACCTGAGAGCCAAAGATGGAAAGAGTAATTGAAAATTGAATACATGATCTTTAGCGTAAAAGTTTAAATCTTCCACTAGTATAAATTACACTACTAAACTTCTCTAATATTAATAACATGATATATTATTCATATAAATTCATTTTCTACTAGACATCAATAATGCGTTTCTACAAGGTGAGCTAACAGAGGTGGTATACATGAGACAACCACCGGAATTTATTGACAAAGACAGACTTCATCATGTATGCCGCCTGCGCAAACCCATTTACGGACTCAACATAAGAACCTCATCATGTATGCCGCCTGCGCAAACCCATTTACGGACTCAACATAAGAACGTTATTTAATTACAGTTTAGTTTTGATTTAAATATTATATGTTTAGTTGTTAATTTATCAACTGGGCGGGTCTTTGTTTTTATGGTATAGATAACATTTCAAAGTTACAATTTAATGGTTCCAATTTTACTAAGTAATAGTATATTGTTTAAACATTGTATTTCATTATTGTATTGTATAACAGGGGCGTCGTAAAATGTTGTGACCCGTAAACATTTTAGTAATAATTTATAAAGTTTTTTGACTAAATTTGGTGAAAAGTTATATACACTAAATAATTTAGTCAAATTTTTAATTTAATTTTTTAATGAAGAATTGGAAGGCTAGTATATCACTGTTAAAAACTTATAAGAATAGTCAATATAAATTATATAAATAAAATATATATTATTCTTGATTTATTCTAAATACATTTAAAACATGAATACATATATGTATAAATAATTTGTAGAAATANATGTTTCCAAACACTTTATTTTTGTACTTCAGCTTTAATAGTATAGAAGATATATATGAGATATTTATATGGGAAAGGCAGTGTACATAATAATTACCATTCATGTTAGCTATATTAAAAGACAGTCACATGAATAAAGTCAGCTTCTTAGATGAACCAATTTTTATATTTCAGTCTCTCTTTTCGTAACAATACACTGAAACACTCCAATTTCAATAAAACAAATATTTTAATTTTATTTAATCTATATTTATTATCTATTTATTGCTTAATATATATTATCTGCCTTATTTTTGTTAATTTTAAAAGGGTAAAATTATTTTAGTCTCTGTAATATTATATGAGAAATAAGTTTCCTATGTGTTATTCTTATATTAATTTTTATAATGTAAATACAAAGTTATTCAAATTAATTTTTTACTTATTTGCCATTACCAAAAATATATTATTTCCTATCTGATAATTTTTTAATTAGCTTGAATTTCCTTTTTTACAAATTCAGATAAATAATAAAAGAGAATAATTAAGAAAAGGAAATACTATGAAATATATTATTTTAATATAAAAACGTATTTTTTTCTCAAAAAGGAAATATCTATAAAGTTATAATATACTGATTTATATATAAATTCATAGTTTAATAAAAACTGAAAAAAACAAAAAAAATAAGGTATTTGATGTGTAAAAAAATAATTTTTTAGCAACAATTTAATTTGATCACATGATGAAAGAAAATAAAAACATTTTAAATACGTAAACTTATTATATAATATTGTATTTTGAAAAAACAATATTTATATCTATGATTAACTCAAAACTATATATAAAATTCAAAATGTGAGACTGAAATAATAAAAAAAATATTTTTAATAAAGAATATTTATAATATAATTATAAATAAATAAAATTACTTTATAATATATTTTTGATCAAATTATTAGGAAAGGAAATAAATAATATTTTAATTATTATCTAATATCACATTTTCAAAACAGTATTTATATCTTGTGATTGATTTAAAACTAAATAAATAATTCAAAATTTGTGACTGAATTAAATATAAAGTTACTTTTATCATAAATATATTTGTATTATGTAACTACAAATAAATAAACATACTTTAAATGGTGTAAACCGATCATCTAATATCATATTCATTTTAAAATAGTTTGTGTTTCAACTAATTTAAACTAAATAAAGAATAAAATAAAACATTGTTAGATTAAAAATATTATCATCGGTTGATCATATGACTAAATTGATAAAATCAAACTTCTCAATTTTTGAATATCATGATGTTCTAAAAAAATAACTGAACAACAAATTTTCAAATTTCATCGATTTAGATTCTTTATACAATTATTAATTCCTCAATACTTTGGATTTTATTATTTTTATCCATAAACATAACAAATTTTTTTAATGGAATTAAAATATATTTATTCATCTAAGAAAAACTAAACTTAATGTAGTTAAGATAATCTTATTTTAGTATAATTAGAAAAAAACATTGTGACTCAATTAAAAATGATTGAATCAAATATATCTTAAGCTAAATGAATCTAAATCCTTTTATTTAATATTATTCAATAAAGTTTCTTTTTCATAAATATAAATTACAAAATGACCTAGAATCTATAAACAATTAAAGAAAAATGTACTCAACTATTACAATTTATTTAGTTTGAAAATATTTATATCATATGGGCTTTTAAAAGATTAATGATCATGTTTCTTATGCAATTTTTATATTGATCACCATTTTATCTTTTCCTTTTTCTTTCAAAATAAAATATACTAAACTATAAAAAAAATTACAAATTTAAAAATTTGAAAATAAAAAAAGAGAACTAAATGGATCCTAAATAAAAAAANTTATTTAGTTTGAAAATATTTATATCATATGGGCTTTTAAAAGATTAATGATCATGTTTCTTATGCAATTTTTATATTGATCACCATTTTATCTTTTCCTTTTTCTTTCAAAATAAAATATACTAAACTATAAAAAAAATTACAAATTTAAAAATTTGAAAATAAAAAAAGAGAACTAAATGGATCCTAAATAAAAAAAGAATAGATGTGATTTATCTCAAAGAAATATATACAATTCGATATACGCAAACTGAATTTTTATAGTAAAATTAGAGATCTAATTAAGACAAAACATATTATTATTTATAATAATATTCAATTTATTTAGTATACATAAAATAATAATAAATCAAAACTAATGAACAATTGAAAACAAAGATATTAATCAATTATATGATTTCCTTCTTTTGTAAATAGTGATATGTGTACATGAGTGTTCAAAAATTACTGGCTGTATATGTTCACTTATGCAATTCTACTCCTACAGTGGATATACATAAATTTAGAAAATGATATTAAAAAGATAATAAACAAATATATATATTTCACCTATTTAGAAACAAGAAACGATTCAATTTAGAAGAATATATTCAATCTAATATAATAAAAAAATGAGCGAATTAATCAGAATTTTATAAGAAAAGTCACATATCTAGATAAATTAATTAATTTATTTTATATTCATGCATATACATTATAAAATACTTAAACTTTATAAATAAAGGAAAGGAAATATTAATCTATTATTATGATTTCTAGAGTAAATATTTATATATGTACATGAACATAAGAGACTCACTTAGTAATAAATATAATAGTAATGCTATACTCTCTCTGTTTCAATTTAGTTATCGTTGTAAACTAAAATTTTTATTTTAAAATAAGTGCCGTTTTATAATTTTAGTGCAAAATTTATTGACTTTATCTATTATTATATTTTTCTATTAGTTAAAATGTGGTTAGATGTATAGATAATTGTATTTTTAAAAAATATATAAATTTTTTTTTAATATGTATGTAACAATCTAAAACTACGAGTAAATTGAAACAGAGGGAGTAATATTTATAGTACTACAGTAGAACCTATATAAATTAACACTCGATAAACTAATAATTTCTATAAATTAATAAATTTCACCGGTCCCAACTTGGACCAGTGTAAAATATGATACAAATCGATAAAATAATAAAATAATAATATTTTTAAAACTGCCATGTAAATATTTGGTTCCATTAAAATCATAAATTAATAATCTAGCTATATATAATTTTATATAAGTACAATCTAACATTATATTGTTGGTTTTATATTTACTCTAAAATCACTTTTTAAAAATTTTAATATATTTTGATAATCTTTAGTAAGGGGTTTTATATTTACTATAAAAATATTTTATTTTTTAAAAACATTTTAATATATTTTGATAATATTTAGTTAAATTATATCGAAAACCATGTAACAATTCTATGAAACATAAAAATATACACCAAATAAGATAATAAAACAATATAAAAGTCAAAATTCTAAAATTTAAATAATGTACATATGCTAAATCAAATATTTTTTATTTTATAAATAAAATAGAAAAAAAATCTAAATAAGAAAACTTTTGTAAATTAATATCTCTATAAATTAATAAAATTTTAAAATCTCAACATTATTAATTTATAGAGGTTTTACTGTATGTTTTTTATAATTTCTACTATTATGTTTTTTATTATAAAATCCATTCATGAAGGCCTAAGAATAATCAATAGATACGATCTTGATTTAATAATATAGCAAACTATTTTTAATAATATTAACTTAATTTTCACGTATTTTCTACAACACACGTTCGTTGTTCAACATCGAAAAAGGAGTATATCAAGAAAAAGTATTCTTTCTTCATCCAGTCTTCCTGACAAAAAGAAAAATGAGAAAATATAATAAATGGAATGCATTTGATTGATATCTTTTCACCCTCAGTGGTTTCGAGCAATTTAGATCTAATAGAGAGTGATTATGAATGTAAGGAAATTTTCTGTTTTTATGGGAATTTATGAATATGAAAATTCTCATATACTGTTTTTATGGGAATTTATTTTGAGTTTGTGTATGTTCAGGTGCAAAGAGGAAGAGTGAAAACGAGAAGAGTATTTCTCTGTCAGTGTCGGATGAATTTGAAAGTTGTACGCAAACCTAGTTTTAAAGTTTAGCTCTCATAGGCTCGTTTGTTGAGATTTAGATCTAGAGTGCTGAAGTTTTAGATGTGGGTCTGGTTTTGGGTTATGAAGCTTGGAATAAAAGAAAAGAAATTATTAGGATTTTCCAAAATTTAGTGGTTTCCTTATTTGGATACTTATTTTCCGTTTGAGTTGGTTCTGACTTGTGTGCAAATCTAACATTAGATCGAGCTCTAAATTGTACTTGGTTCGTGTCTTTCTATTTTCCAATTTTTCAGCCATGAGGACAAAATAGTAATAGCACGCTAACCCTAAAAATATTTATATATATATGCTCCAAAGTGTACTTGGTTTGCCGTTTCGTTTCTTCAAGCTTTTTTTCTTCTTTTCCTACTGTTTCACAGATCGGGCTTCAAAGCTGATTCATATATTTAACCATTAGATCGATCTCTCTAGCTCCAAAGTGTAGTGGGTTCGCATCATACGGTCAAAGAGAAATAAACCCTAATATATATAGGTGGTTTTTTTTTTTGTTTTCCTGGGCTTCTCCCATGTTAAGTTGTTGCAAAAAGACAGTCACCAGAGATGAAGAAGGACGCGGAGATTTGTGTCTTTGTTTGGATATAATAGTGGAGATACTCAAGAAACTCCCGGCAAAGTCACTTGTGAGGTTCCGAAGCGTCTCCAAGCAATGGTCAACCATTATCGGCAGCCGCAGAGACTTCATCGAGTCTATCGTCGCTCGCTCTCTCAGACAGCCTCCCCTGGAGCTTCCCATCTTCATCTTCCACCATTGTGTGCCTGAAGCGTTCTTCACTGTTTCCCCTGTTTTCTCTCCGACCCCCACCGACCATGTAGTAACTATCCCTCGACCAAGTCCACGGAACTCCTTCCACTATCAGTACTCCCGAGGCTTGATCTGTTGCTCTTCTTCAGAATCTCATTTGGTTACCATATACAACCCTACTACCAGGCAGCTTTTTCCCTTACCCGAGATCCAAGCCCTTGCAACACGGTCCGAATTGAGTTCCTGCTTCTTTGGCTACGACCCTATCACGAATCAATACAAAGTCTTGTCCATTGTTGTTGTCAACGATGACGAGCAAAGTTATCATGTTTTCACATTGGGGTGTCAACAGTCTTGGAGGAAAGTCAAAGGCATTGATGAAGAATCCTACTTTCCAAACGATTACAGTGTATGCATTGACGGGACTATCTACTACCACGCAAACTACAACGCAAAGAGAGGTGTTGAGACTATGTTGCTGAGTTTCGATATTAGGTCCGAAAGATTTGATCGCGTCTTGTTTCCACAAGGATTGTTGACTCCTATGTTTAACCAGCGTCTAGTGAACTACCTAGGTAAGCTGGGATGCATAATTTGTAACCACAGCAACACAAGTATCTGGATTATGAATGATGCCAAAAAACAAGAATGGTCGAGAACAATCCTTTGCTTGCCAAACTACCCAGTGATGATGTTAGGAGCAGGTGTGGCATTCTCTGGTGCCACCCCTGCTGGAGAGATTTATGCAACTCAATGTAGGTATGTCTTTGAAAAGTCATTGTATGTTTACTACTATGACATGAACCAAAACAGCTTTAGAAGAGTTCATATCCAAGGTGGTGTTCGCAATAAAACAAAGAAGCCTAGGTATTGGGTGCAAGTATTTGCAATTCATGATCATGTCGAGAATACAATGTGGCTGTAACAATTTTCTTTTGTATTTCTTTTTGTCCCAATTCCTTAAAATGTTATTTAAGGACCTACTGCTTTGATGCTTTGCAAGTGCAGTTTGGCTGTCGACCATCTATATATATTTTGGATTCTTTATTACAATTTACTACAAAATTTTATCTTTATCATCAGTGTTTTGTGCTCACTGTTCACCCTAAGAATTATATATGTTTCTGCGTTCTGTTTCTCATTTACAACATGTTTTGAACAACTCAAGGTTAAAACACAACACAATAAATTATGATTTATATATTAAACATTCTTACGAATATTTATTAGTTTATGTTTTATTAATTAAACACACAACACAATAAATTATAATTTATATTTTAAATATAATTATAAATGACGATACTCATTTAGAAAAATATTGTAAAAATATATTTTAAATTTTTTTTTATTTGATTTATATTTAATTTTAATTTTTATCTTATTTTTTATATTATAAAACTTAAAAATAAGATATAAAAACTATATTATTAATAATTAAATTTAATTTTAGAAAATAAGTTAATTCTTATGTATTATGTTGTTATATTGAAAATATATTTTTCTATTATAAAATTTAAAATTAAAATGTAAAAGTCTAAATATGATAAATAAACAAAATTACCTAAACTTATGGAGAACATGACAACTAAGCAAATTTACTTCTTATATTATAAAAATTGAAAATAAGATATAAATATTATATTATTTAAAATTTATATTTTAGAAAATAAATTAATTCTTATGTATTATGTTGTTATCTTGAAAATATATTTTTCTATTATAAAATTTAAAATTAAAATGTAAAAGTCTAAATAGGATAAATAAACAAAAATTACCTAAACTTATGGTGAACATGACAACTAAACAAATTTACTTTTAAATAATAAAGAAAATGAATTTATATGAATATATCATGTTTTAAAAAATAAGATAATTCTTGTGAATTATGTTGTTATCAAGAAATATATTATAAGAATTATCTTATTATCTAGAAATATATTTTTATATATAAATCTTAAAAAGATAATTCTTATGTATTATGTTGTTATGTTGAAAATATATTTTTATATTATACAACTTAAAAATAAGATATAAAAATTATATTATTAACAATTACATTTCTATTTTAGAAAATAAGTTAATTCTTATGTATTATATTGTTATCTTGGAAAAATATTTTTCTATTATAAAATTTAAAATTAAAATGTAAAAGTCTAAATATGATAAATAAACAAAAATTACCTAAACTTATGGAGAACATGACAACTAAGCAAATTTACTTCTTAAATAATAAATAAAATGAATTTATATGAATATATCATGTTTTTAAAAAAAAAAAAATTCTTGTGAATTATGTTGTTATCTAGAAATATATTATAAGAATTATCTTATTATCTAGAAATATATTTTTATATATAAAACTTAAAAAGATAATTCCTATGTATTATGTTGTTATGTTGAAAATATATTTTTATATTATAAAACTTAAAAATAAGATATAAAATTATATTATTAATAACTAAATTTTTATTTTAGAAAATAAGTTAATTCATATGTATTATGTTGTTATCTTGAAAATATATTTTTCTATTATAAAATTTAAAATTAAAATGTAAAAGTCTATACTATTATTTAAGAAGTAAATTTGATATTTGCTGATTTATCACATTTTCCATGATTTCAAGAAATTTTTATAATTTATCATAATTTCTATAATTTTATATATATAATTTATCATATATTTAAAAGAAATTTATATTAAGGGGTTTTTGCAAATTTGACTCAAAACTCATGGTCAAACACAAAAATAACTTCTTCTTTTATCTCATCTTGTTTTTGTTCTATCCACCCCACATGTTCATTTTATTTACGAAAATGCCATTAAATTTTTTTTTTTACTTTTTTTGAAAATGGCCTTTTTACTCTCTCAACCTCATCATCTTCAAGTATTTACAACATTGCCATTGCCATGAATACTCCCAACAACCTTGTACAACCCAACAACCTTATACAACCAAGGTTTGAACCTTTTAATGCACTTAAAATCGATACTCATACTCTCTTTCTCAATTGTTATGAACTAAAAACAACATCTCCTTCACTTTGTCTCCATATTCATGCCAAAAACCCAAGCTTTTTGATAGCAAATTTTTTATGGTTGATAGAGCCATTTAAGCATACAATTGTTGGTGGGTTACTTTCGTTCGANCTTTCTCAATTGTTATGAACTAAAAACAACATCTCCTTCACTTTGTCTCCATATTCATGCCAAAAACCCAAGCTTTTTGATAGCAAATTTTTTATGGTTGATAGAGCCATTTAAGCATACAATTGTTGGTGGGTTACTTTCGTTCGATGTTCTGGGTGGTTGGAGAAGACTCTGTGTGCAAAGGAAGTCATCTCACCTATTTTAAGGTTTGAAATTGAATTTTTTTCCAGATCTCTTCGCGTAGAAGACTTACCCGTAAGTCGTCTGGATGTAGAAGACTTACGGATAAGTCTTCTGGTCAAACGGACGACTTACTTCTAAGTCGTCCAGCTTTGTTTGTTAAAAAAAAAACTCCAGACGACTTAATTATAAATCGTCTAGATAAAACGGTCTACTTTTGCTTTTGATCGAATTAATAATCAGATTAATTTCTCAACAATAAAAAGAAGAGTAGATCATATAACCTGATCAATATCAATTTCGGAGACAAGAGTGGTCTGATCCTGATCAGATCCCTCTAGACTCTGATCTGATTAGTTCAATACGTGTATGACAAGGTAGCAAGGAGACTTGAGAACCTAGTGTGCTTTTCATACAATCCAATCTGTAAAAAATTAGCAACAAACAGGGCCGGCGTGGGCAAAACCGGATGAAACATTGGTCTTGGCCCCCAATTTTTTTTGAAAATATTACTTGTATATAGATCCCCAAAAGAAAATTTTTTTAGGTTACCAAATCCGTAAAAAAAAATTTTTTATGTGAAATCGTTAAGAAATCGCTTTAGGCCGCATAATTCTCATGATTCTCAGAGTCGGCCCTGGCAACAATACACAATGTGAACAACAAAATACCACCAACCTACTGCTTAATTAGATATGGAGAATAATCAAAAACAAATAAGACACCTTGATGATGACGTCGAGGTGCTAGTAACAACATCAGATGACGACTTTCCCTGTTATATATTAGTGTTCTAATTAATAATCAAACTAATGAATATCTCGACCAATAAAAAAAAAGAAAAGAAAGAGAGTAGATTATTTAACCTGAATATCATGAATTCCAGAGACAAGAGTGGTCTCAGTTCCCTTCAGAGTCTTATCTGATTTGACCATTTGGATACGAGGTAACAACGAGACTTGAGAGCCTCCACGTGGTTCGGCCATTCTGGGCGGCAACGAGAGCAACTTTCGTCGGAGCTCTTCTTGTTTGCGTGTGCGACGTAATCGAGGAGGGCGACGTGGTATCCCCATGGGTGCACAACGCCTTGTTCCCATGCCGCGACGTTTTCCCATGACTAAAACTCTCTGCCTCCTAAACAAACTGTGCAAAACTCTGAAACCCTAGCTACATTTATATATATATTACACAAGAATTTGGGCCTATTCCCAAGTTTATATTCTTTAATTCCCATTCTGCCCCCATACGTTTGGTCTATAATTTGTTTAATACACAAACTTGCTTCATTGCACCATTTTGAGCGGGTTATCATACTCTACGCATCACTTTGCTTCAACTTATTCTCGAAGAGATTCTAATGGAGGCCGGAGAACAGACATTGTAAACAAGACTCCTAATATACCACTGCCATCCGTTGCAACACACCATAAAGTCTGTGTAGCAGCCAGTGAGAGAACAGCTCCCACTACATGCATCCTGTCAACTTATCAGTGATCCAGACACAATATACAGTCCAACACTTCGAAAATGCAATCAAATATCAGAGAGCCAGAACCGACGAAGTCCCCACCAGATGACCAAGCACTAAAAGGAACAAGTACCACATGTGACAGACCTTGAAGCCGAAGCAAGACAATCTAAATCTTAGAGCAGTTTCAACGGCAAATACCCATAAGAGAGTATCTGACACAACTATTTTCAATTTGTTATTTAAATTTTAAAGTAAAAAGGAATTTGATGAATAAGAAAGAGAAACCTAATAACATTAATATCCTCCTATACATTAAAAGAGAAGTCACTTGGACACATGTCACTCATACATGCATTCTCAGAGGAATTTTCTTAATCTTATTGGTTGAATTTTTGAGAATTTCTTTTTGATTTATTTTTATCATCGACAACCTAATAGGAAAGCAACACTAATTACTAACCTCATTAAATATTACTTGCACAAGAATATTAATTAATACATGTATTAATAAGTTTCCTTATTACAAATACGGTAAACCATTTACTCTTGATATCATATTGATTACATTAATTAATGACATTTAACAATTTGTATCTAATTAGGAAACTTATTTTTATTAACTTACCTTACTAATATTGATTACTTGCGCAAGTTAAAATCATATCATATGCATATCATTTTATTAGCTTATCATGCAAGCTAAATCATTGAGAAACATCCATCAATTTACTATATATAAGACATTCACAATATGAGAAACGAAGACACTAAACTTTTTATTCTGAACTTTTTATGTTGATATTGTTTTTGTTATTTTACATCATTAAGCTTTTACATATACATATTTCATCAGAGCTGATTTTTATTTTGGTTTATATGCAGATGCCCTATTATAACGATTTCACCAAGATGCAGAAATTTTTTTTTATCTTTCTATATGATTTGATTAATCGTAGATCTATTTGAATTCTAATTCTTACTTTTTAAATATGTTCATAGGTATTATATTTCTATTTAATGATTGTTTGTTAGAGCTTAAAAGGAGAAGAATGCTTTCATATGTATTTTTCTATTGATTTTTTAATTTACAATTTTAGTTTATATGCGCAGACCAANTTCAGAGTTAGAATATGATATGTGTAACATTTTTGTATATATTTCTAATACTAATGTTAGAATTAAATCGGTTAAATACAAATTTCTATAATAAATATAAGTGATAAAACATAATTATTATATATTTCTATAGATTTACAATATATCAAAATCAAAACTATTTATTATTCTTTAATTTTATAACCATATTATGGTATTATGAAAGATAT